GATATCCTTTGTTTCATTATTATTATTTATAATTAAAAAGCCTTTGAGCCAGTAGCGTAGCTGTGATGGTATAAAAGGGATGGTGTAGGTTTAGACCTAATTAAAACTCATAATACAATCTCTGTGCTGACGAGTTGGACATGCACTTCATCACTTAAACTTAAAAGGCTAAAAAATATGTATTAGCCAGCAAGTGACCTTTATATAATGACAATAAATCTTGTTAATTCAAGATAACGCGATGTTCAACTTTGTGTAATCGACAGTAATCTCCGAGGGCAAGACAATAAAACAATGTTCCAAAATGTTCAGCTGTTTATCACATCGTCGTAATAGATTAAAAACGCAGTGTCGAGAATCATTTTAATTCCTAATGTGGTTGGTAATTGGTGTCTTTTATATCAAAGTATTAATTTAAATCCATTATCATACTCAGTAACATGCAACATGCAATAACCTTACAAGAACACGGAAATGAAAGATCGAATAATATGTAATGGCAGTATGCTAATATGGATAATTTGACTAGCCTTGAAATGTTTCGCCATGTCTTTTCACGTTAACGTTTATTCGTATCAGCTAATTTGTAAATTCTACGATTTGTTTTCAGTTATAAAATTGATCTACCAGCCGCAAGGGTATTACGTATCATGGAAAGACACTTTCAATGCGATGGTGCTTCAGCTATCAACGTTTGGTTCTGATGTGATGTGGTCCGCAGTCGGAGGAAGCACTAACCGTGGACGGTATCGAAAAAGTCCAAAGGCCCGCATGCGCATAGTAACAGATCCTTCTTCTCCAAACCATTGGTCAGCAATCAGAGGCGCAGTAGCAGCAAACTGGAAGCATTTTTTATGCTTAACGGGGCTCCTACAATCACGAGCACCATCTGCTGAGGTAACGGGGGGTGAAAAGGAAACGAGGGTGGGCTGGCCTTAGACGGCGCTACTTTAAAAGAGGAAAGGGTGACTGCGGGTGCATACCAAGGTAAATTTTCTAATAACAGAGTCGGATTTCGATTAGCGATCTAGAATGTAAATCGTTTCTTATTTTGGTACTCAGCAAGTGATCATTTAGTATTTTTCTCCGCTTGTTACTGTTCTTCGATATTGTGTTGTTGAATTGTTGTTGGTGTGATTGTTCTTGAGTGCCTTTCTTTATCAAGGCCGATAATGGACAATAAAGGGTCATATGCGACCATTTTAATTACGAATGCAGTGAGTTTAATTCATGATGAGGACAACAATAGTGTGGAGCAGGTCAACTTTATAATCGCAAAACACATTGGGGTAAGCGAATAAATTATTGCAAGAAGATGTCATACCATGGAAGATGTGCTGCAGCTGTAGTGAGCCACAATACCCAGCGGCCTGTAAATGCGGTCTAAATACATTTGCGTTCTAAGCTTAGTCCAACCTCGCTTATCGCTAAGATGGAACAAAGACTCAAACGCAAGAATGTTGAAAAGAAACTCGGACCAAAAAAAACTGATATAAAAATCACTAACAATTCGGATAGCAATTCCAAAGAAAATGAATAGTTTTATGGCGAATTCAATAAAAAACCTGACATTAAAAACAAAGTCCACGGGGTGCTAACGATCCACTTTTTCGATTTTATCCACCAGGATCTTTTTACCCACCATAATTCTTGCGGAAAGACAAAATTTTGTAAAACGCTTTGATAGCACCTTAGGCAATTATGTCCTGCTTATATCCAGAAAAGCATCACAAACTGCAGAACACAAGTTGAAGGTAACGGCGAAATGGGTACATTTCACGGGTCATGAAATTCAAATGAAAATGCAGGTATAAAATCTACGAAATTATCGTTCTCAAAAACATAACGTATTTCCTTGACATATCGATAATTTTAAAGTTCCACGCTAAATTCCCCTATACTTGACTGGAGTGATATCCGAATTCATTCTTCCCTACTGTCGGCAGTTGCAGATAGATCTGTTGGCTCTTGGTGTCAAACCTATAGGGCAGGTACCGATTTTCTCAAATCGTGAGCACTTTATTCGTCGGATTTTCATTACTTCAATTTCGTGTAACCACTGAGATAAGAAGCTTCTTAATAATAGAACGTGTTTCACTGATATCAAAGATGCAACATTTAGAATCACCTTCCCCCAACCCCCACTTTTTAAGCAGTACAATTTTTTTCTGTCAATGATAAGGAACCCCTGTAACGTCAAAAACGGAATTTTAGCAATTGTTACGTTTTCTTTTTTTGCCTATAGCACCGTTGCCACTGGACTAAAACTACAAAGCTTTAGCATACTAGTAACCCCGTGTGGAAATTTCATAAAAATCCGAGCGGTTATTTCCAAGTTGATGAGTGATACAATTTTTCATATGACTTGAAAAAACGTAACATCTCATTTTAAAAATTTTTCGCGACTACAAGACTGCCTCGCCTATGGCGTTGGAAGTAAAACGGTTTTAAAATCGAAGAGTATCAGCGATCGCGATTATGACTACCTATTTGCAGAACGAGTTATCTACGCGATATTATATGAAATAGGGCCACCAAATTATCTGAATACGTCCTGTCCTTTCTTAGGCCCGTATCGTCAGTAGTCCCTACAATTGTAGGGCGCCTGTATGACCTCCTTGTTTGTCATAGTTTTCTACTTCTCCGTGTCAGAACTCTATTTTGAGGTTATGTCACAAACATTTATTTACATCAAATTGTGCTTGCTTTTGAGTTATATCATGTTTTATCAGCCTAAAATTTCCTACAATTTAAAAAGAAAACATATCTTCACAATAGCAGAGCGCTGACGCTGACACGGGACAAGTGTAATCTAGAAATTGTTGAAGGAGAGAAAGCAGTATGACAATCAAGGAGGCCATAAACGCGCTCTACAATTGTAGGGACGACTGACGATACGGGCCTTAGTCCGTACATTGCGCCGCAACGCTTGGGTTGGCAGCACGAAACAGTAGACAAAATTCGTCCAAAATACGATTTGTAGAGGTTTGCGTACTTCGAAATTTATGCTTTATTTTTAGTTATTTTTGGATGAAATTTCCAGGGAGTGCTGAAAACAAAACACCACAGGGTGCTACAGCGCCAATTTTTCATTTTTTTCACTAGGTTCTTTTTAAAAAAATATTGAAAAATGGAGTGTCAGTTTTGAAGCAGCTGAACCCTTGTAAATGGCTTGAAACTCACTGCGTCGGAGCCGCTTTAACGCTAGCAAATGACAGGAGAATAACTAAAAATACCTGTGCTACTCGGCTCTCAGAAACTGCTTTCTTCACAAAAATTTAGATTTAGACACAGGTAAACAAAAACAAAGTTAAACGTTGACATTGCTGCCTCAGCATTCGTCAAATATAGTCATTATGTTGCAAAAAAAAACAAGTTGCAGAAATTATTTTTTCTGTATGGAACACTTTTACTTTCACAGGTGTACATATATTACCTTTTTCGAAATTGAGGGATACGTGGCGGATTCAAAGTTTTTGTTGATTAGGTAAGTGAGTGGTTGTGATATGACCTTGGCTATAAATTCAAATGCTTGCTTTTAATACCGTTCAACAAAGAACTTTCTCGATTTTTTAAGGAAAAAGCTGTAATAAGTGGTGTATAGTTCACGTTACTCTACTTTATCCAAAATAAATGAGTTCAAAGATCTTTTTGGAAGATGGACACATTTTCTTGTATATAACTTGCTACGTTCTAAGCAGTATCACTAAAAAATTGTACAGAGATGCATCGCATATTTGTTGAATATGCTATTATACAGGGTGTCCGCAAAGTTGGGGTTTTCCTTTTCAGAAACAACTACCCTTGAAATAACAAAGGTAATGTGTGAAATAAAGGAAAAAGTACTCACTCTCCAGTTGACGAGAAGGGCTAAGTACGTCTCTGCCCGAAATCATACCGCTCCAACAGAAAATGAAATCAGCTGATGCGCTATCGAGCAGACGCCGGCGGTGGTGCAGACCACGAACAGAGGTAACAAATATGACCATCGTGCAGAAACCACATTGATTGTCTTACACTTAATGGCACATCTTCTAACAAGGAAGGCAAAATGTTGCGTAAAAAGTCTAGGTATTGCATCCCGTCCAATCGATTTAGGAGAATATCCAATGACCATGCCAGCCCAAACATTCACCGAAAATGTTTGTTGAAAATGTGCCCGACGGACAGCGTGCGGATTTTCTACTGACCAAACATAACTGTTGCGAAAGTTATTCACCCCATTATGCGTGAACGTAGATTCGTCTGTCACCAATATGCACTTCAAAAAGTCCGGATTATTGTCATGTTGATGCAACAACCACTCACAAAGCCGCACTCTTGCTGGAAAATCGTCAGGTTGAAGGGCTTGTACACGTTGGACGTGAAACGGATACAGCCCCTCTTCACGCAGCGTTTGCCACACTTTAGTTTTTGATACTTGCACTTCTCTAGCCGCGTCTCTAGTGCTTGTTGTTTTTTGAAACGCAATCGATTATACGGGTTCGTTTACCTCTACACGCGTGACCGTAACCGTCGGTTGAAGGTTGCATACTGACCTGACACACTGACCTGGACCCAGTTCTGTCGTCGGGTTGAGCTAGTGTCCTAGTACCACTCGGGGATGTCGCGAGTCGCGGCTACAGGACGGTATTCAGATATTTTTGTTTTTGCAGAGCCCTTTATCTCGGTTCCCTTAAGACATTGGTGTATATGGTACTGAGAAAATTTGCTTATGTTTTCAAGATCTACACGTCGTGTAAAGGAAAACCCCAACTTTGCGGACACCCTGTATATTAGTACGTTTTAGTAAATTAAATGAAATTGATTATTCGCTTTGAACATTTTTCTTAGATCTCTCTGTATCATTCTGAACAAAAAGTTTCTTAGTAATTTCATTCTAAGGTCGACAGTGCTTCATAAGCGATTTAGCCTGATACCAAAACGGAAGAGAGTAGCAAAACACATCATGGCATGCGCTAGCAGTACAGTGCGATGCGTTCAGTTAGTAAAGTACTCACCATGTGCTCTTCGTTCACATAATTGCTGATATACAGCAAGTTCGTCCACCAGTTTTCTCTGCAGTCTTGAACTTCAGGATTTATTATGGTTTTCCACATCGGACCTGAACCAGTGTACTTGAATAGTGTGGCATAGTAGAAAATCACGAACGCATATAATGGTGTTAGCCTGTGAAATCAATGTTGAATCATGAAATCTTCGCAACTTTGCGAAAAGGTTCCTAAATTTGTGGAAAATATGGTCCGTTTGGCTTAAGGAGATACTGGACGAAATCAAATCCTCGTATTTATGAGAGAAATTTTTCAACTCGATTTAAAAACAATTTTTTACAAACTACAATAATTGTTTTTGCTACGGAGCAAGTTTAATTGTTTTTTGATGATTCTGACGAGAAAAGGACCTCAAGTTGTCGGTTTTTAAATCCTCAAAATCTGTTAATAATCATTATTATTGAAGTAACCAAGTATCTAAGTAAAGTTCGCCTGCAAGATCCTAAAGAATATCCTTGCTTTGTTCATTTTAAAAAAGTTTTATTTCGCTGCTAACAAGCCAGCATTTTCGGTGTCTTCTAGAGGAATGTTAACATAGGCAACCTCAAAAAAAATTAAATGTTTTTCAACAGGTTTTGAGCATTGAAAACGACAATTTTTAGGGTATTTCGACTATGAATTGCATACAATTCGGAAACGATCTGCTTCAAAAATCAGGTTCGAAATGATCGAAAAGCTCAAGATAAAATTTGGGATTGATAAAAATATTTTTTTTTATTTACTGACAAACGAGATTCTGAAAAAAAAAATCGAGTTGGAAAATTCCTCTCACAACTCTAGTTTTCTTATGACATTACCTTTATTATTTTTTTTATGTCTACAAATATACTTGCCTCATGTATCTCAAGAAGATAATAATCGCTGGGTTCGTGATTTTTTTGTCATACTGCACTAGAAGAGAGTAGGTAACCAATAATCCGCTCAAGACGAAGAATGAGTCAACGAAGAGATCACCGTGGAAGAAGAGAGTTCCTACTGAAGAGCGATATTGCTGAAATATCAAAAAAATCCAAATGTCTCATTATTGAAGTATTTTCTTTACAACCCTCGTAGAAGCCCGGCAAGGAGACAAAAAAAATTCACAAAAATTCCATAGCCGGCCATCGCTCTCCTCACAACTTGGTTGGACCTCAAAATTTGCATAATTGGCATGATTTTTTGTACAATTTTGAGAAAATCTGCTACATCCCACTCTCCGAAAAGTTTCCGGTCACTTACACCTTCATAAAATGGCCATCCTTGAGAAGAAGTAATACGGACGCCCATGGGAACCAGTGATAAATGCCCAAATGATGTGTATACATTGTTATACCACCGTTATTTTGTAAACAAAAAGGTACTAAATTATGGATATATCTACAGGGTGTCCCGAAAATAGTGTGCAATATTCTACCAGCGGTTTCTAGAGCTTAAAATATACTTTGAAGTTGAGTCATTAATTTTCAGATAATGATTGTAGAAGTAAGATAAACCAAAATATGTGTGTAAAAATAAAAAAAAATTAAAAAAAAATGTTACCTTGTTTTATAAAGTATCCTCCCGACAAGTATTTCAGTGCGGACCTGTATTTGATCATGCGGTCTTGGAGCACCGGCATTCCCTCCCCTGTGAGGTCTTAAGTCACCTGATTCACGAGCCCTTTGTACTACATTAACAAAGGCACGAGGGGTTGGTTGCACTCGATTGGGAAACCTATCCGCATAAATCCGTGATGCCGCGTAAATAAGAATGTCCACAAGTTCAGCATTTTCGTAAACATGTGCCATTTTTGATTTCGTTTGAGCCACGCAACAGACACCACTATTCACTCACGCGTTACCGACTGACACTGACTGAATACAACTGAATAAAATAATTGTAAAAACATCGTTCCAAATTCTTTCGCTTTTTTGTTTCCGATGCGATGAACCGATAAGGCGGATTATATCCGTTGTTGCCAAACACGAGCACATAATATTATTATTGATACAGGGCGGTACTCAAACTTCGAAAGGGCTATAACTTTGTTACTTTAATTTTACCAGAAAAATGGTAAAGGAAAAAAACATTTCTTTTGATCAGATTTACTCACTGTCAAAATAAATGACTCAACTTCGAAGTCACCCTGTATATATAAATAAAAATTTTGATTTTAATCTAATAATTTTACACTGCTAACAATGTCAGCTTAACGTCAAAATAAGGCATAACAAATCAAAACAACTTTTGTTTGCAGTCATGGCTAACCATGTATAATCAACAATTCATTTAAATTCGCAGTACATTTCCTATCATGTGACAAATTTTTTAGTTTGGTTTTCTTCAAAAATGACAATTTATCGATATTCAATAAGAGTACCTTTTTTATGTAGAACACCCTAAATTTTCAAATTCTAAAATTGAATTTCAAAAATAGAATCACACAAAAATTTTGGGGCTAAAATAACCTGAGTCCGTTCCTGTTACATACGCTTCCAAACAAAACTGTCTAAATTTGTTAATATTTTTAAATCCAGCATAAAAAACTAGGCTACAATACCAAATTTTATGTCTTTATCTCAACACGTTTCGGAAATATTAAAGAAAAACCATCTTCAGGGAAGCCCCTTTAAAAGACCGTAGCGCCTTTAGGAGACGTTTGTCGACCTATGTTTATATAAACTTTTCTTCCTATTTTAAGCTCTAGAAAACGCTGGTAGAATATTGCACACTTTTTTCGGGACACCCTCTATATGTTTAATTAAAAATGCCAAAAATAGAAATAATGTGTAATTATGCATAATTTATGACTTCTAATAGCAGTTGTTTTTGTGCCTGACCAGATACAAAAAATTGTTTACAGAACATGTATTAAATAACTAATTCAATATCAATCTACCAGTAATGAGATACTTTTAAAAATAATGTTCCGTAGGCTAATTCTAAGTATGAATAGAACAACGCAAGTATAACATGAAGTTTGACCTTGCTTTTTGGGAATGATTGTGAGTTTTGGTGAAAGATCTGTTTCACCTCTTGTCAACGCTTTCTCCAAAATAGACGTAAGAGTATCATGGCAATGACATCAATATGTTTGAGAATCCGCCTTTAGAAATACAAAAAACAACTCAGAGCACACAGCCTGATACTACTCAAACTCAAATGAGGAAAATCTTCATAACTCCAAAATTAGTGGCATCATTAGGTTCTTGGACATAACACTGACGAGTTTCATATAAGCAAGTCCTACGTTTAAAGAATTCGTACCAAAAAGCGAAAGGAACGGATTGTTATAAGGTATCAAATAAAACAAAACTATTTAATTAACAGACGTCAAAAAACAAAATTGGATCTGCATTATCAAGATCAAAAAGTATTTCTGTTGATATACCACAAGGTACTAAACTAGGTCCACTACTATTTATTTTATACATTAATGACATTTGTAATATTTTAGATTATTGTAAATTTCAGATATTTGCAAACGATAACATTAATATAAATATCAGATTAAAATGTGACACCGCTTTAAAAATGCTAAATTCTCACTTGGCAAAAACATAAATTGCTTAAATTTAAATAAACTTAAATTTAATACTTCTAAAACAAAGTGTATGCTAATAGGAAAATATCTAAATGAAAATACTATCACAGTTAGGATAAATGATGAAATAATCGAAAATGTTGAATTAATTAAATATTTAGGTATATATATATATACAGGGTTATCCAAATTAAGTGTCCACCATTGGTAACTTTGTTATTAGTAAAAATACAAAGTTGTTTAAATTGGCAAACTAGTAGCATTTTTAACGCTGGTAAAAATGAGAAATAAAAAAAAACAATTGAGAGTCGTTATTTTGATTTTTTTCAGTAAAATAACATTTTTTTAAATGGAAACCCCTGTATATTATATTTTTTTCTGTTAAAGCATCAAATTTTAAACAAAAAAGTTCATAATGACTTTTCCGCTAAAGTCAAAAATAAAGTCAAAATAACGATAAATATTTTTAATTATTTGCAGTATTATAATATTAAGACGGCTATGAAAACAACATGGCGTTCGCGATTTGACAGCATTAAGATAAGCGACAAATTGTTAAACTGGACATACTCGCAACTAGAAGGCTTTGGAAAACAATGATAAAATCAAATAATGTCAAACATTAGTGTAAATACTTGTTTATAAGCTTTATTGTGTCATTAATTTAAAGAAAAATGTTCTCCCATGAAGAAAAGTGTGATATGTTAGAATGCTATTTAGTGTGCAGAAAATCCTCCTTGAGAGCAAGAGAATACTACAGTGAATTATATCCCGCTCGCATTCAACCGTATGAACGATATTTTCTGAGACTTTATCGAAAATTTAGGGACAACGAAAATGTTTTTGCTAAAACAAGGGCAAAAAAAGAATTCATAATAAGCGAGGCCACGGAAATTGCAGTTATTGGATATTTTGAAGCTTATCGTGAGAATTCAATAGCAGATATTCTCAAGGACTCTAATTTCAGTTATGGTACTGTTCAAAGGATTTTAAAAAAATACAAATTTATTCCGTATAAGTACCGACCAGTTCAAACGCTTTTGGCAGGGGATCCAGAGAGAAGACTTGTTTTTTGCCATTGGTATCTTAGCTTCTGTCGCCAAAATGTAAATAACTTTCGTTACCTTTTATGGACAGATGAATCAAATTTTTCAAATTCTGGAATGTTTAATAGAAAAAACCACCATTATTGGTCAAGAGAAAATCTTTTGTTAGTACATCCAAGAGGCCCACAAGTCCGTTTCAGTTTCAACGTTTGGTGCGGTATAATTGGTTCAAAAATTGTTGGCCCGTTCTTTTATGAGGGAACCCTAACTGGTGAAAGATATGTGGAATTTATGTCAGAAGTTCTGACTAATTTCTTAGACGAATTGGATCTTATAAGTAGACGTCATCTGCATTTTCAGCAAGATGGCGCACCTGCCCACAACTCCAGAGGTACTTATCATTTTCTAAGTACTACTTTTAATGATCAGTGGATAGGAACAAATGGCCCAATACAGTGGCCTCCCAGATCACCAGATCTAAACCCACTTGATTACTTCTTGTGGGGTTACTTAAAGAACCAAATTTACGAGCGAAGGTACGATAACCTTGACGCGTTAAAGACTGCAGTTAGGGAAAAGATAACCCAGATAGATGGTAGGACCATACTTAAGACAGTTCGAGCAGTTGAAAAACGTGCCCAAAAATGTATTGAAGGACAAGGTGGTGTTTTCGAGCATCTTCTTTAAAAAAAATTGTTATTGTATTTTGTAAGATTATAAGTTGATGTTGAAAATAAAGTTTGTCGATACAATTTAATTGTTTCAGATTGGAGGCCATAACTTCAACAATTTGTAACCTAGGAGAAAAGTTATTGTAAGCTTTTTTGTTTAAAATTTGATGCTTTAACAGAAAAAAATATAATATACAGGGGTTTCCATTTAAAAAAATGTTATTTTACTGAAAAAAATCAAAATAACGACTCTCAATTGTTTTTTTTTTATTTCTCATTTTTACCAGCGTTAAAAATGCTACTAGTTTGCTAATTCAAACAACTTTGTATTTTCACTAATAACAAAGTTACTAATGGTGGACACTTAATTTGGATAACCCTGTATACAGGGTGACTTCGAAGTTGAGTCATTTATTTTAACAGTCAGTAGATCTGATCAAAAGAAATGTTTTTTTCCTTTACCATTTTTCTGGTAAAATTAAAGTAACAAAGTTATAGCCCTTTGGAAGCTTGAGTACCGCCCTGTCTCAATAATAATATTATGTGCTCGTGTTTGGCGACAACGGATATTATCCGCCGTATCGGTTCATCGCATCGGAAACAAAAATGCGAAAGAATTTGGAACGATGTTTTTACAATTATTTTATTCAGTTGTATACAGTCAGTGTCTGTCGGTTAGCGTGTGAATAGTGTCTGTTGCGTGGCTCAAACGAAATAAAAAATGGCACATGTTTATGCGGATCGGTTTCCCAATCGAGTGCAACCAACCCCTCGTGCCTTTGTTAATGTAGTACAACGGGCTCGTGAATCAGGTGACTTAAGACCTCACAGGGGACGGCATGCCGGTGCTTCAAGACCTCACGATCAAATACAGATCCGCACTGAAATACTTGTCGGGAGGATACTTTATAAAACAAGGTAAATTTTTTTTTTTAATTTTTTTTTTATTTTTACACACATATTTTGGTTTATCTTCCTTCTACAATCATTATCTGAAAATTAATGACTCAACTTCAAAGTATATATATTGATAGTAAACTAAAGTTTCAGGATCACTATGAATACACTATTTGAAAAGTGAGTTCAAGTGCTAAGAATGTGTCACCGATTAGTCGAATTGCCTTTCTTTTGTTGGGAGTCTACAAAGTAGCTCTAGATACGAGAGCTATACTCTAGTATCGTGCCTAATAAAAAATATCTTAAAGACTCAATAAATATCCCAGCGGTTCAAGCCAAGACGTCTCTTCAGTAAAACGGATTCATATTTGTCGCTAGGTCTCGATCAAAGACCGGCCTTCGTTCGAGACAACAAACAACGCATCATTTTTCGTTAATTGCCAAAATGTAGCTTTCTGTCTAGATCGAAATAGGCCACGGTCACGATCAACACGATCTGTGATTCATATTTACCTACATCTGAAGCGGTATAAGTTAGCGAACGGTATTTGTTATTGTTATCGTCAAAAAATAAAGCAAAGGACGAGGACAGATTTGTGACGAAATTATTACCTGTTTAATCGTGTACAAAATAATTTGAATAATAATTGGAATATAAACTATGAAACTTATAATGTGATTTGCCGATTTTATGTCTAATAAACGTAATTAGGGTTTCGGCAATGATCCAGAAAATAATTATACTAAGTGACATATAAATCCGAACACGCAGTTTAAATGGTTTTATTTTAATAAAAGTACGTAATGAAGCATAATAAGTAAATGATAAAAATTTCAAAATGATTGCACTGCTTTAAAGCCCTTTGACCTTTAATAATGTGTGGATGCACCCTGATGTGCTACGCATTCTCCAACGCGCCTAGGCATGCTTCTGATCAGGTGGTCAATGTCCTCCTGTGGTATCTCATTCCAGGTAACCACCAACTCCTCTCGAAGTGCTTCTAGAGTCTGAGGAGGACGTTGCAAATTGAGCAATCTCCTACCCATCATATCCCACACGCGCTCAATTGGGGATAAGTCGGGAGATCTTGGTGGCCATGGTAACAATGTGACATCATTATGTTGAAAGAAGTCTATTGTGACTCTTGCAACATGTGGTCGGGCATTATCTTGTTGGAAAGTTGGATCTGCCAGGGTGTCAAGATAGACAATACTGTTCCATTCCTGATCCCAGAGTGACCGTTGTCTGCACCACTCAAGGCGATTACGTCGGTGTTCTCGAGTTAAAGGGAGGACCCATTGTGGCCGGTATGAAAACAAGCCAAAACTTCTCATTCGTCGGTAAACAGTTCGCATGCCAATAGGTCTTCGTGTTCTGCAAACCATTCATTTGCAATGGACCTGGTAGTGGAGAAACGGTCCCTTAAGGCCAATAATCTTAGGCGGCAATCTTCACGGTCTGTTGTTCTACGGCGGCGTCCAGTGCCCCTTGCTCTTTGCGTACGGTCTTCTCGAAGACATGCCTGACAACACCTAACCACAGTGTCTACACTTCTTTGCACTCTAACTGCAATTGCCCGAAAAGAAAGTCCAGCTTCCCGAAGTTCCACTATACGCCCCCTATCAAACTCACTAAGTTGACGAAATCGTACAGGTCTCCGTACTCTAGGCATCGTAAAGGATGTCAAGAACCAAAATCAGCCAACGTTGATTCTTTACTGCGGCTGAAATATTCATTTTTGGAGCGTTAGTGAATTAAAAAAAGCAGTATAAAAACCGGAATGTCCAACTGATAGGGCTGAAAATTTTTTCACTTGTTATTTACAGTAAGATAAATAGATTCACCAACTTTTATAAAAATAAAACCATTTAAACTGGGTGTTTGGATTTATATGTCACTTAGTGTATAGAGATTAACCCGCAACTAAGGTGAGGTCAAATTTTTGTTTACAGGGTGTAGCGTTAGTAATGAAGCAACGGAAGTTAGGTCATAGAGGGCTTCAAAACCTATCGAATGAAGCCCTATATGTGTTGTCCGAAATTTGATAGTTCAGGAGATATTTGCAATTTTGTTAAATTTCGAAAAAACGGGATAATGTACTTTCATTGCAATTACAACTAAACCATTAGGTTTATGGCTGTGATGTTTTTTTTTTGAGAGGAGCTGAATGGTTAGTTTTAGCAATGGTTATGACACTTTTTGACAGAGCTAATTGAAAATCAACGCAAAAAATCTTAAATTCATTTCTTGTGAAAGCTGATTTGGCTATTTGCGTAAAAAATCCGCTATTTTGATTTTACAAAATGATAATCACACAGTATTACTCGCTCTGCTAGGACGAATCTAACAGTACCACATATGTCAAAATCCATTAAGTCGTTTGGATTCGGACTGTAGCTCGTAAAATAGGATTTCTCGTTTACATGTATAGACACCCACCAGCGTCAAACATACAGATTTTTTAAGGTGAGGCACTTATCTCAGCAAGCTGAAATTTTCAGGGTTTATTCTGCATGGATTGAAATAGTTTTTACAATAAAATGAATAATGAAATACAACCTCAATTTTTTTCTACCGCCCTCCAAACTTGAGGGATGGAAGAGATTTTTCACAAAAAAATGAGTATTAAATTTTTTGCGTTGATTTCTAATAAGCGATGTCAAAAAGTGACATAACCATTGCTAATACTAACCATTAGCTCATCTCAGAAAAAAAATCACAGCCCTAAACCTAACGGTTTAGTTGTAATTGCGACTGAAAGTTCACTATCCCGTTTTTTTCGAAATTTCAATTGCAAATATACTAAGTGACATATAAATCCGAACACCCAGTTTAAATGGTTTTATTTTAATAAAAGTTGGTAAATGTATTTATCTTGCTATAAATAACAAGTGAAAAAATTTTCAGCCTTATCAGTTGGACATTCCGGTTTTTATACTGCTTTTTTTTAATTCACTAACGCTCTAAATATGAATATTTCAGCCGCAGTAAAGAATCAACGTTGGCGGATTTTGGTTCTTGACATCCTTTACGATCGGTTACGATGCCTAGAGTACGGAGACCTGTACGATTTCGTCAACTTAGTGAGTTTGATAGGGGGCGTATAGTGGGACTTCGGGAAGCTGGACTTTCTTTTCGGGCAATTGCAGTTAGAGTGCAAAGAAGTGTAGACACTGTGGTTAGGTGTTGTCAGGCGTGGCTTCGAGAAGGCCGTACGCAAAGAGCAAGGGGCACTTGACGCCGCCGTAGAACAACAGACCGTGAAGATCGCCGCCTAAGATTATTGGCCTTAAGGGACCGTTTCTCCACTACCAGGTCCATTGTAAATGAATGGTTTGCAGAACACGGAAGACCTATTGGCCTGCGAAGTGTTTACCGACGAATGAGAAGTTTTAGCTTGTTTTCATACCGGCCACATTGGGTCCTCCCTTTAACTCGAGAACACCGACGTAATCGCCTTGAGTGGTGCAGACAACGGTCACTCTGGGATCAGGAATGGAACAGTATTGTCTTTAGTGACGAGTCTCGATTTTATTTAGGCATGCACGATGGTCGTACCAGGGTTAGAAGGCGACGTGGTGAAAGGAGGAATCCACAGTTTTTTGTTGAAAGACATGTTCATCACACTGTTGGAGTTATGGTTTGGGGTGCTATAGCTTATGGTTCCAGGTCACCTTTAATCTTCATCAGAGGTAACATGAACGCGCAGCGTTATATCCACGAAGTTCTAGAACCCCATCTTTTACCCTATCTTGACACCCTGGCAGATCCAACTTTCCAACAAGATAATGCCCGACCACATGTTGCAAGAGTCACAATAGACTTCTTTCAACATAATGATGTCACACTGTTACCATGGCCACCAAGATCTCCCGACTTATCCCCAATTGAGCACGTGTGGGATATGACGGGTAGGAGATTGCTCAATTTGCAACGTCCTCCTCAGACTCTAGAAGCACTTCGAGAGGAGTTGGTGGTTGCCTGGAATGAGATACCACTGGAGGACATTGACCACCTGATCAGAAGCATGCCTAGGCGCGTTGGAGAATGCGTAGCACATCAGGGTGCATCCACACATTATTAAAGGTCAAAGGGCTTTAAAGCAGTGCAATCATTTTGAAATTTTTATCATTTACTTATTATGCTTCATTAAGTACTTATACAAAATTTTATTAAAATAAAACCATTTAAACTGGGTGTTCGGATTTATGTGTCACTTAGTATATAAACCTTCGTCATTCATAGTCAGACATCAACACAAGAAACCCACTATGAGGGTAAATTTTTATACTTTTTTCATAGCTATCTTTTGTATGATAGTAGCGAATGTTTTCTTACCTCTTCTACCATATCAAAATTGAGAACAGCTGAAGAAAGGTGAGTCCCAAATCTGTGGTCCATGATTATCATACAGATGCAAAACACTCTGATTCCGTACAAGATAGACAGCGCTTTGTTAGATCCGTCAGCTCGTGGTAATTTCTTGAAGTTTCTTTGTATCGAAAATGATAAAAATAACTTCGAGGCTTGAGCTCCTGCATTCGGAAAATCATAAAAAGAAAATTCTTATTTAGATGGTGATCTAGTTCGTGGAAAAAATCGAATACAATTCCTGAACAGAGGAATTTCAAAAAGTTATTTTTATTATTTTAGGCAACCTGATAGCCTGTTAGTATAAACAATAGAAAAATGGTTTGAGTTCATTCCTCAATAAAAATGATGTATTACTTTCATATTATTTTTAACAGATAACTTCGTATTTTGTTGCTTGGATAGCTTATACAGGGTGGCGCATCGAAAACGAAACAGACGCATTTACTGGAAGCTCAGTTTTTTTTTGAAAAACGGTCAGACCCGTCGATTTTGTTTTCGATGGGGACACAAGTTTGGCAAAAAATCACGTTAGCACGTGCAGCCCCCTAAGCGGGGTGACACCACCCCCAAAATCTTAAATGGAAAAGGGGGTCGAGTGATACCTTATTTTAAAAATCTTTCAATTCCCTTTATAATGATATAAAATTAATGCATTTCACTTCAGTAGTTTTGAAGATTTATTGATTTAAAGCTTAAATAAAACTAATACATCATCATTAGTGGAGATCAATACATTTGGCAGCAAAGTAATTTAAAAATGAAGAATGAACTGACCTGTTAGACAAGAAAATGTTGAAAATGGCCACCATGACTCTCCATGCAATAATAAAGATTTTGCTCAAAACGTTGCGGCATATTTTGCAATATTTGAGAAGTAATTTGAAGGCACCTCTTCACAATTCTATGTCGCAGGTCTTCTAATGATGTTGGCTGAGTGGCATAGATTTTGCTTTTTAAATGACCCCACATAAAGAAATGCGAAGGTGATAAATCTGGCGATCTTGGGGGCCATACAATGGTACCTCTTCTACCTATCCATCGATCTGGAAACGTCTGATCTAAATGTTGTCGAACACGTAATGCGTAATGTGGTGAGGCACCATCCTGTTGGAACATCAACCTAATCGCAATGTACCGCCGATCATTCTGATTTTCAATTATGGCTGTTAATGCAGGATCTATGGCGTCTTCCAGTAATTCCATATACAGCAGACGCTCGATAATGTAAACTAATTTAATCCAAGTGTGGTTCACATTATCGAAATGTTTACATTAGCGAACGTGATTTATATAATATTTGATTTATTAAAAGAAACGTTTAATACATACTATTTATAACAAAATAAACAAATATTCTAACAGCGATAAGTATTTTTTTAATAAGAAGAAAAATAATTAACAATTTTTGTCTGCGTAAATTTGCGCTTAGCATCGTCTTCCAATGCCTGCGCCCGTAATTTACGAAGAACTAAAATATCCGTGTATGAAACTTCTTTTCTTTCAGCCCAATCTAAAGCTTGGTTAAAAACTTGTATAGCTTGCGCGACAGTCACTACACTTCTGACTTCAATGGGATCGTTCTCATCATCCTCACTGTTCATATCCTCCTCCTTATCAGCATCATTCGTCTGCTTATCTTCCTTCCATAAATTAATATCAGCAGGAGTACAAACAATGTTGGGATTAACTGTTTTCAATAAATCAACAACATCCAATGACACACTAATAACATTATCATTATTGGATCGCAAACGTTCTCTAATTACGCTTAAGGGGACATCGTCTTCTTCATCATCTTTATTATTGCCACAAAAAAACGCTCCAATAGCTATTTTCAACAACAAAATGATAAACAAACCATGGGCGTAGTGAAGATAAGCATTTACTCATTAAGTAAATTCTTTTAGTCAAATTTCTTCTGAAAGTAGAACAAACTAATCTGATGTAGGTACCTATTAAAGTCTACTTTAAGCTTTAAATCAATAAATCTTCAAAACTACTGAACTAAAGCCCATGTATTTTACATCATTATAAAGAGAATTGAAATACCTTTAAAATAAGGTATCACTCGACCCCCCTTTCCATTTAACATTTTAGGGTTGGTGTCACCCCCGCCCGGGGGGCTGCACGTGTTAACGTGATTTTTGCCAAACTTGTGTCCCCCTCGAAAACAAAATCGACCGGTCTGAGCGTTTTTCGAAAAAAAAAACTGAGCTGCCAGTAAATGCGTCTGTTTCGTTTTCGATGCGCCACCCTGTAGATATCAGTAGTGTAATGCTAACCTTCCTTTAATTTGTCTTCTTCCTTATTTCTGTAGTGGTCGTATAACGACGATGATGAGACCAAAACAATCAAAATTATGATGACCAGCCTGAAAAAAAAAAAAAAAATAGAAATAAAACGTACAAAAACTTTAAAAGCTAAAAAAATCATATGTATGATGCTACAGAATATCATGAAATTTAAAGGCAGAATCAGTGTGTGAAAGTGAAACTTGTTATAGAGTGAAAAATTGTACGCCACTTTTTGTTTGAAAAAATAAGTGTCGCTTTTTTAGATCCATATTCAATCTGCTTGAAGGTGTCTCTTGGAGCTTTCGTTATTTTTGTAAGAAGGTGCCAACTGGATTATTATTATCTACAGGGTGTAAACGTTATGATAGTCATTATTTAAATGGGTGATAGACAACGCCGCAATGCTAGACGCAAATTACGATGGAACGCAGTGTAAATAAAGATGGAGTTTGTTATTTTTGGCCTAATTCTCCAGTGCTGATAACTGCATTGAATTCCACGATATTTAAAATTTGTTCCTCCTGCTCTACAGCAACCTGTCTTTCTCGAGTATGAATATTAGTGAGCTGAACACCTCCTGTATCTCGAGGACTTTGGTACACTTGCACAAATGTCCTTCTGTTTGGGTGTACCCGTTGGCGAACTCTTGAATCGAGATCATTGTAAATAAACACGACGACGTACGCGAACAAAAACAAAACAACATACTAACCGCTGTTACCGTTTGCGAACGATTGCCGGTTCGATAGGAGTGATGAAAAACCGACGAAATTATATTATTAATAAATCGTGATAAACCGTAATAAACCGTAATAAATCGTAATAAATCGTAATAAATCGTAATAAATCGTAATAAATCGTAGTAAATCGTAGTAAATCGTAATAAATCGTAATAAATCGTAGTAAATCGTAATAAATCGTAATAAATCGTAATAACTCGTAATAAATCGTAATAAGTCGTAATAAATCGTAATAAATCGTAATAAATCGTAATAAACCGTAATAAATCGTAATAAATCGTAATAAATCGTAATAAATCGTAATAAATCGTAATAAATCGTAATAAATCGTAATAAATCGTAATAAATCGTAATAAATCGTAATAAATCGTAATAAATCGTAATAAATCGTAATAAATCGTAATAAATCGTAATAAATCGTGATAAATCGTAATAAACCGTAATAAACCGTAATAAACCATAATAAATCGTAGTAAATCGTAATAAATCGTAATAAATCATAATAAATCGTGATAAATCGACGAATTAAATTAGTAAGATTTAAGTAAATAGTAAACACGACGACGTACAGGAACAAAAACAAAACAACGTACTAACCGCTGTTACCGTTTGCGTTCGATTGCCGGTTCGATAGGAATGATGAAAAACCTACGAAATTATATTATTAATAAATCGTAATAAACCGTAATAAACCGTAATAAATCGTAATAAATCGTAATAAATCGTAATAAATCGTAGTAAATCGTAGTAAATCGTAGTAAATCGTAGTAAATCGTAGTAAATCGTAATAAATCGTAGTAAATCGTAGTAAATCGTAATAAATCGTAATAAATCGTAATAAATCGTAATAAATCGTCATGAATCGTAATAAATCGTAATAAATCGTAATAAATCATAATAAATCGTGATAAATCGACGAATTAAATTAGTAAGATTTAAGTAAGTAGTAAACACGACGACGTACGGGAACAAAAACAAAACAACATACTAACCGCTGTTACCGTTTGCGATCGATTGCCGGTTCGATAGGAATAATGAAAAACCGACGAAATTATATTATTAATAAATCGTAACAAACCGTAATAAATCGTAATAAATCGTAATAAATCGTAATAAATCGTAGTAAATCGTAGTAAATCGTAGTAAATCGTAGTAAATCGTAATTAATCGTAATAAATGGTAATAAATCGTAATAAATCCTAATAAATCGTAATAAATCGTAATAAATCGTAATAAATCTCAATAAATCGTAATAAATCGTGATAAATCGTAATAAATCGTAATAAATCGTAATAAATCGTAATAAATCGTAATAAATCGTAATAAATCGTAATAAATCGTAATAAATCGTAATAAATCGTAATAAATCGTAATAAATCGTAATAAATCGTAATAAATCGTAATAAATCGTAATAAATCGTAATAAATCGTAATAAATCGTAATAAATCGTAATAAATCGTAATAAATCGTAATAAATCGTAATAAATCGTAATAAATCGTAATAAATCGTAATAAATCGTAATAAATCGTAATAAATCGTAATAAATCGTAATAAATCGTAATAAATCGTAATAAATCGTAATAAATCGTAATAAATCGTAATAAACCGTAATAAACCGTAATAAACCGTAATAAACCGTAATAAACCGTAATAAACCGTAATAAACCGTAATAAACCGTAATAAATCGTAATAAATCGTGATAAATCGTAATTAATCGTGATAAATCGACTAATTAAATTAGTGTGATTGTGGTGATTGTGGTCGATATAAAGCACTTAAGGTTGTAGACTATAAAGCCATTTAGACAAAAATTTATTGACTTTAGGACGATGGGTCATATGAACTTTTTAACTTGTGTTGACCCCCCTATTACCCATTTCGATAATGACTACCATAACGTTTACACCCTGTATAAACATATTGATATACGGTTAGTACAACGGTTTTTTTTAACCTTTTTGACTTCGAAAATACGTGCAGACTGCTTCTCTTGTTCTTAGTACTTAGTTCTCACGAAACAAATGTACTCTAGGAAAAACACAAGAGCAATTATTTGTAGCAACTTGAAGGTAAAATCCGGAAAATTGCGCATTTCGAAAAAAAAAACAGTGGCGTACTATTTTTATTTGGAAAAATAATGTCACTAATCCCCTGTAGCTCCGCCACTGGTGCACAGTAATTTTAAGTAAAGACCTTTGAATACTCAGGTAAATCCACATACCAAATCTTAGTTCATTCCAGTTGATGGTTCTGAGGATATTAAGAAGAGTTGTTTTTTATTTTTAAACTTCAATGTTGTCAATGAAGCCCTTTAGGAAAAAATATTACATAGAAGATCCCGTTTAAAATGCGCTCCCGCGTATGATGTTTCATTTTTGGTCACGACTTGTGAATCACCCCGTATATCGATAGAAGTTTCTCGGCCTGAATGAATACGGACTTTTTTTAAATAATCTGCCTTTCAGTTTCCTTGGTAACATGCTGTAACACCGTGACGTAAATCCAGATAACGAAACAAATCAAAAACTCACCCAAAGGAAAAATCTACGTGATCATAATGCGTATACTCCCCTCTCCGTTGACAGCTATTCTCGTTCAGGTGAGCAGTGTATGTGACGTTATGTCTCTTTAGGAAGAAGTCAGCATTTTTCAGGTACTTATTGACGTGGTTTTGGAGATCGTCTTCCCTGCAAGAAGCTGGCATGCACCATCCCATTAGGACGATATTCCTTGCTTGCTGAGAAGGATCTTTTTTGTCCTGCAACAAAAATGGAAGCTTGGATTCAATCCAAATCAATATCAGTTTCTCTGATCCGAAATACGTATGATAATGGTCGGAATTGCATATAGAAACGTCCAGTGACAGTGTGTGGTGACAAAAATGGACAAACATGTGCTAGTCTAGTACATTGATTCCCAAAGTGGTCTATATCGACCCCTAGGGGTCTATGACAACCTGCAAGGGGTCTATGTCAGCGAAAAAAAATTTGGGGGTCCATGAAATGAATATGGGGGTCCACGATAGTGGATCTCAATACATACACTGATAGTACCTATTTACTTACATCATACTATCTTATAATATCAAAACATATACATTATTCATAAAAGTACCTATGAAGTAAAAAATGTATTATATATGTTTATAAAATTGTGTAAGTTGTAGGATGTTGGTATTCGCTTTGTGGTCGCAATACATTTTGAACTTGTAAAAACCTGAGAGTCGCAGTCTCAGAGCTTCGCTACCTTGCACTGACTTGTTCAATTCGTCACTCTATAAATACGAATGTGGGACAAATACGTTTATTTCGTTTCCTGAATCTTGAAAAGGAAAGTGCTAAGAAAATATTTTAAAAAATATAAACAGATAGTATATCACACAAATTATAGTGAGTCAGTGTTATTTTGTTTGAGAGTGCTGGAGAAAAGTAAGTACATTATTTTTTATTAAATTTTAGTTTTGTACTCGTAGTTAGCAAAGATAGATAAATTACGCCAATCATGACTTTAGTTATTAGTAGTTAAATATTCAGTCATGCAAAATTACACGAGTACTCCTCAATAGTTTCTTTTTGAAAGTTTTAGCAATCGGTGATATAATTACAGTGCAATCTCCGTAATTCGAGCTAATTGTTGCAAGAAGATGTTCGAATTATGGAATGTTTTCGGAAAAATCAAAAAATATTTTTAATATACAGCTGCTGGATTTTCTGTCTTATTTAAATAATTTAATTTTGCCCACAGATGACTGATGCCATGTCCGAATCTAAAAAGAAACGTAGACAGTACAGTGTTGATTATTTGAAATTTGGCTTCATTCCATCATTGCCGGACAAACAATCGCCTATGTGCCTTTTATGCAACAAAGTTTTGGGTAATGACGCTATGAAAGCATCTAAACTGCAAGATCATCTGAGAAGATGCCACCCTGATAAAACAGAGAAAGAGTTGAAATACTTTCAAACACTCAAAGATAAATTTCAGAAGAGACCTACACTGGACAGGATGTTCGCTTCGACGTCACAAAGAAATGATGATGGTTTGCGGGCGTCTTACAATATCTCGTTACTTATAGTAAAATCCGGAAAACCGCATACTATCGGAGATAAGTTAATTTTGCCAGCCATTGAAGAGGTTTTAAAAACTGTTTTACACAAACCTGCATCTGATATCATTAAAAGAATTCCCCTAAGCAACAATACTGTTGAAAGACGTATTGATGAAATGAGTTCTGGTATTGAAAGCGTCTTAAAAGTGAATCAATATTTCATGTTTTGAAGGATTACTTCATTGAAAAAACAATTCCTTTATCAAATATAATATCAGTAGCTACAGATGGAGCACCTGCCATGGTTGGACGTTATCGTGGATTTATAAGCTATTTAAAACAAAATGTGTCAGGGGTGCTAGCAATACATTGCGTCATCCATCGACAACATTTAGTTGCTAAAAATTTGAGTGTTAGATTGCATGAATCACTTCATTTAGTCATTGATGCAGTAAACCGAATCCGAAGCAACGCGTTGAATACGCGGTTATTTGCGCAGTTGTGTGAAGAAAATGACGAACACTTTCATCAATTACTCCTTCACACTGAAGTACGCTGGCTGTCGAAAGGCTTATGTTTGACAAGATTTTTTGCACTTTTTGAGACTATTTTAGAATTTCTGGATGCTAAAATTAAAATTTTAAAAGAAAATTTAATGAAGAGGAAAACAGACATCGCCTATTTAACAGATTTGTTTACAAAATTTAATATGGTTAATTTGCAATTACAAGGCGACAGTTTAAATTTGATTAAAACAAAGTCCATCTTATCAGCGTTTCTTGCCAGAATTAAACTAATGAAGCAAAATATTGGACGGGGCGAATTTTCTCAGTTCCCCAATTTGTCACAGACAAGCTGCCAGGAAGACGACGTTTCAACTTACGATCAACATTTAAATGCCCTCTATTCAGATTTTGAATCTAGGTTTGAGGATATTTTGACTATGGAAATACCACCGTGGATAATTAATCCATATGGTGACATAGAAGAAACGAATGTCATAATACAAGAGGAACTGACTGAACTAAGTACAAACGAAGAACCTAAGGTTCAGTTTAAAAACGGATATCAGCAATTCTGTCTGCAAAACAACATACCCGTTACTTATCCCGTATTATGGAATATAGCGAGGAAATTTTTAATTTCCTTTCCATCGTCATACCTAGTGGAAAGGGGGTTCAGCGCTGTTACCAATCTCCTAACGAAAAAAAGAAATAGACTGGACATCATTAGCCGAGAAGATTTAAGATTAACCCTTACAAAATTGACGCCAAATGTTGATAATTTATTATTAAAGCATCAGGTTCATCCTTCTCACTAAAGGTATTGACCTATTGCTTATGTTATTTTATTTATAGTTTATTTTATGTTTATTGGTGTCTGACCAATAAATGCCCGCATTGAGAATAAGTGCCCGCATTGATTTTTTTAAAGAACCCCCCTTTATAGAAAATTTTTTTTTAAATTATTTTGAAAATTCAAGGACAGGTACACACTAAAATTCGTTAATTTTTTGCCTATTTTTAGGTAACTTAAACGTATAAGAAGCGGAATTTAATCAAACGAACAGTGAAATTATTGTAGAACATACGTTTATGCTATAATTAATAAACGAACTCGCTTATTGTACTATTTTAAGTAAAAAACTTTTTTTTAATTATTTTTTTTTTATTTTATCCCTCTTATTTTTTTTTTCAATGCGGGCGCTTATTTCCAATGCGGGCACTTATTGGTCAGACACCTGTTTATTTAATGTTACGTATATTTTACATAACAGATACAAAATTTTATTTTGAGTAGTTTTAATTTAAATTCAATTAATAAATGTATAAATTAACATGTGTTTTTACTTTAAGTTTTTAACACTAAACTTCACTACAGTTAGAAATTTTCAGGAAATCAATATCAGGTAAGTAGGGGACGGGACACCGAAAAACATGGCAAAGGGTCTACGACACAAAAAAGTTTGGGGAACTCTGGTCTAGAATGTGGGTCCAAACCATTCAAATTTGGGTAACTTAATCCAGTGATTATCGTATACAACCTGAAGATACATACATTTACACGTCTAAACATTATCCGAGATAAAATGGTATCATTTATGAGAATTTGTCACACCTGCTTCTCTAGCTACTATACAGGGTGTTTCTAATTCGGCTTTCAAGTAAGGGCAAAGTTGCCTATTTAGGTAGTCAACAAAATGCCTCTTGGAAAGTCTCGAAATTCAAAAGTTCTTCCGGAAAAACCCGAATTTTCCTAAAATCGTCTTAAGTTTTCCTTACTTTATTTGTGGTGGAATGCCAAAATGAATTGCACATTAACATTGCCACTTTTTCTCCTCCACAAAATTAGAATTTCCCTCTCTTTTTGGGCAGCGTTCATAATTCTGATTTCGAAAATGTGAACACGTCATACGGTGATGTTGGCAAGCCTTAGTTATTTCGAAAAACGCAGACTTTTCTAGGTAGGTCTTGAAATTAGCAGACAGTCATTTGCCTCGTCTACCAGACTGGGAATAAGAGATATATATCTAGCAGTGAAAAATGTACAGAGAAGAGTCAGACTTTGCATACAAAATAACGGTCAACATTTTGAACATCTGCTAAGATTTATCGCTGCTTATTTGTGTTTACTAACGTTATCATCAACAACATTTTCATTTTGTGTTCAGGTTTCACCATACATTTGTTTCTTCATAATTTTCAACCAACAACAAATTCATAGCCAACTGACGTTAGAACCATTTAGATGTAAAAAATCCAATATAGCGCCATATGAAAAAACAAAGTTAATGATGGATGTCGAAAGAAGAAACGTCGAATTGAACGCCATCTTGTAGAAGAGAATAAGTAACAATGACAATTTATGCAATTTATTTTGAATCCCATTCCAAACAAAGTCAGGAAAAAACGCAGCAAAGTTTGTTTTATTTGAAATAGAAAGCGACATTTTTTTTACTATGTGATTTACTTTGATCTCAAACCTTTACCAGTTGAGCTTGTTTTTATTCCAAAAAACATTTTATTTGTCATTTTACTTTATGTTTGCCAGATAAGCACACCAATTTTACTGAATGAAAGCTGATTGTACCAATATGAATGAAGTTCGTCTATTTTGCGTTTTTTAATTCGTTAGTGGTATTTGGCCGGATAGTAATCGAATATTGATTGCAACCCAATCTGCAGCAAGCCGGGTGCGTAGATTTCAAATCAGATGTCAGTATGACGCTAGGGTTAAGTGGTTAATTTTTCACGCAAAGTTTGACCTCGTAGCACTTAAAATTTCTCAAACAATCATATTCGATTTCAGTATCCCAGATGACCTCAGTTGTAACTACCGATATAAAATATCGATCTTTTTGTATGGAAAAGTAGCACACTTAATTACTTTTTCACCTGATTCTAAGCAAATTTATTGTAAGCTCTACCTATTTATTGCATGTCGGCCAGTAGCATGCATACATATACTAAGTGACATATAAATCCGAACACCCAGTTTAAATGGTTTTATTTTAATAAAAGTCGGTGAATGTATTTATCTTACTGTAAATAACAAGTGAAAAAATTTTCAGCCTTATCAGTTGGACATTCCGGTTTTTATACTGCTTTTTTTTAATTCACTAACGCTCTAAAAATGAATATGTCAGCCGCAGTAAAGAATCAACGTTGGCGGATTTTGGTTCTTGACGTCCTTTACGATCGGTTACGATG